TAGATTTAGTATCTATGTTTTGTGAAATTTAATAGAACATTGAGCTTGGTTGTCTGAATATTTTTTAGGAATTTTTTTGAAGTCCGAGTAGACGAAAAGTGAAATGGAGTGGAAGGGGGGGGGGGGGGGGGTTAAAGGAGATGGTACGTCTTATACATGACACATAGGGCCTACTCAAACAATTCAATATAAAACAATTACCACTGTTTTATTATGTTCCATTGACTTCAGGAGCAATGTGGAGTTGAGACATGGAGAACAACTGCCAAGAATAAGAAGAAAATATAATCATTTATAAAACCACCAAAAATGAGGTACTATAGTAACGGACAAAACAACGGAGGAAATGGAAATGGATTGGCCATACACCCTGGAAGCCTGAATCCAGAATAACAAGACAGGCCCACACATGGAATCAAAAGGGCAAAAGGAAAACAGGCCGAGGAAGACCTGGAAACATGACTTGGAAGAAGACACCAAGAGGATTGGATACACCTGTGGACTGTTGGAGAGACTAGCCCTGGACAGAGACGCCCGGAAAGTACTTGCCAGCGGCCTGTCTCATGGGGGCGACAGGCTAACCAAACTTAACCTAAATTAACATTGTAACAAAGTAGAATATAATCTCTAAGCCAAAACATGTTGTTATGTTGTAACATAATACGCCTATTTTTTAGAAGTCTTTTATCGGACATCAGTATTTTTAAACATCCGAAATGTGATACTATCTTTTTCGGCGATGACGGAATACGATCACTGTATACGATGCCTGTCTACGCCCTTTCCTTCCAGTTGTACACGATTTAAAAAAAAAAAAAAACCTTTTTCCTGGTGTAGTAGACATTAGACAACACGTGACCTAGTGATCTCTGGCACAATGTCAAGAATGTAAAAAGAAACAAATTTCAGAGTCAGCGCTGGTGACGTCCCCCCCCCTCTTCCCCTCCCCCCGTCTTTCTCTATACAAACACGGTCAGATAGGGCCGTAAGTGTGTTGATGCATAATTATTAAACTACCTCTTCGTTTATCACTGAGATAGCGGCGGTAAGGAGCGGGGGTGGGGGAGAGGTCGGAAGCAGACGTTGATTCAGTGGAACGAGTCAGTTAAAGACAAGACAAGATTGCGGTGACAAAAAATGTTGCCAAAAAAAATGCCTGTTGACATGTAAATGTCACATTTTTTACAGTGTTAATCACAACCGTTGAGCTATACACCAGCATAAAAATTTTGTCCTTTACCGTATTATCACAACCATGGAGCTATACACTATACAGCAGCATAAAAAATATTGTATTTTACCGTATTAATCACAAGCATAGAGCTATACCAGCATAAAAAAATTGTCCAAACCGTATTAATCACAACCGTCGAGCTATACACCAGCATAAAAATTTTGTCCGATGAATGATTCAGTTTTTCGTTTTGATAATTTGAACAGTAATATTCATATACTTGTTAGTTAAATGGACATTTGTTGTCAAATTTCCCGTTGTAATACTTCCTTGGTTAGGTGTTTATAGAAGGAATAAAAGAAATCATGACATCGAATTACTATTACACGTCGTCGCTAAGAAAAGTCATACTGCTATTTTGGAATCTAAATATTTGCTCGATGTGTTCAGCTCTATGTGGAGGAAATGTTAGATCTGAACCCACACCCTTCAGCGTCTGCGCTTAATCTCTGTACACAGTATCAGTGGCGTAGCGAGGTCGGGTGTCACCCGGTGCGGCACTTAATGGTGTCACCCCCCCCCCCCCCCCAGAGGCATAGAGACCCTTCCCAGGGACAAACTTTCAAATTTTCGATTTGCACCCCCCCTCAAACTTTCGATTTGCACCCCCCTCAAACTTTCGATTTGCACCCCCCCCCCTCGAGTTTTTCTCTATATATTTTGCCATTTTTTGCCTTGGTGTCACCCCCCCCCTAAATGGTGTCACCCGGTGCGGTCCGCACCCCCCGCCCCCCCCCCCCCCCTCGCTACGCCCCTGCACAGTATAACTGTTGTCTCCTCACTAGTGTGTACCAAGTATATGGGTGGGGAGAATCATATGTAACTATGTATGTAGAGGGGTGTATCATAATGTAACTATGTATGTAGAAGGGGGGGGGACAGAAATATATATAATACGTAACTATGTATGTACAAGGAGAGAATGGAAATAGACCAAGAACATATATAACTATGTATGTAGAGGGCGGGGGGGGGGGCTGAAAACAGAAATTAACATAACATGTAACTATGTATTTAAAAGGGGAGAATGAAAACAGACAAGGAATATATGTAACTATGTATGTATAATGTGAGAATGAAAACAGACCAGAGACATATGTAACTGTATGTACATGGGAAAAAATGAAAACAGACTAAGAACATATTTAACTAATATGTACAATGTAAGAATGAAAACAGACGATAACATACGTAACTCTATTTATAAGGAGAGAATGAAAAAGTCGAGGAACATAATGTAACTATGTATGTGCAGGGAGAGAATAAAAATAGACAGAAACATATGTAACTGTGTGTACAAGTGGAGAATGAAAGCACACGGAGAACATAATATGCAACTATGTACGTGCGGGAGGGGGGGGGGGGGGGGGTGAAAATATATGAAGCGTCTGAGAATTTCAGCTTTTGTAATGTCTAGAGAGAAGAAAATAAAAAAGCACAAAAAATTTTTTAAATGAATAACACGCTTTGTTGTCTTGTCCCACATTTTATTACCTGCTATGGGAGCATAGGGGGGGGGGGGTGTCTGCTTTTCAACAGGTGTTGAAGCCTTTGATTAAGGGGAAAACAATAAGCCCAATCCGAATGCTATTCCTGCACCATCGTGTTGATGTATTTTCCTAATCCTTAGGCTAAGAACGAGAGCAATTATTTTAAGTTAGCCGTACCCTGGTTACCAGGCAACCGATATTGTTGTTAGGATTAGGGTTGGATATAAGTTAAGTATAGTTTGAGTTTGACGTGAAATACAATGCTACAGCAATATCAGGATTTGTAGTCTAGCTACACCACATTCAAAATCGCTGAGTTTTTTTTTTAATTTATTTATTGTTTTGCTAGTTACTAAAACTGCTCATTTTCTTTCTATGAAAATTTCATTTATTTTTCAAAAAGGTTTTATTAAGTTAACTCCAATTATAACGACGACGAATATGATAGACGTGCAATGACAGTCTAGAGACACATTTCAGAGTTCTGTCATAACAATATATGTGTGTGCTAGTGTTTTGTTATTGAATAAAATGTGGGTCAGATGTGTTGTCACGAGTAGGATCAGAGGTATAGTTAGTGGATGAATGTGTAGTGTGTTGTGATTGTAGTGGTGTGTTGGGTGGTGGTAGGGGTGGTATAAGATGTGTTGAGAGATGGTGTTGATGGTAGTGAATGTGGTATTTAAAGAGTAGAGGTTTGTGTAGTGTTTGGAGTGAAGTGGTTTTGGAGTGAGGTGGTTGATGTGGTACCTCAAATGTGGTGGTGTAGAGGTTGTGGTAGTATTTAAAGTGTGGAGGTCAAGGTGGTACTTAGAGTGTGGATATGAGGTGTGAATTGTGATCTAGCATTTGGAGTGTGGTTAAGGGAACATTCGTAAAGTGGTGAAGGGTGCACACGGAGTGTGGTTAAAAGAGGCATTTGGAGTGTAGTGACGGTGGCATTTGGAGTGTGGTTATAAAGGGCATTTAGAGTTTAGTGAATGGGGCATTTGGAGGGTGGTTAAATGTTTGAAATGTGAACGATTAAATGATGTTTGTTTTGTGGTGGTCGAGGTTATTTCTTAAAAGTAGTGTTAGAAGTGAAAATACTCAAGTTGGTTATTGACGTGATGTTGGTTGGGGTGCAATGGTTAAGGTGTCGAGTTGTGTTTGAAATATTATATGTAGTTTTTGTTAAAGCGAGCATGTTGTCGTCAAGTTATATGATGTTCGCTATGGGAGTGTGTGGGTTTGTGGTGGTAATAAAAGTGGGCTCTAGATGGTGGTTTATGTTTAGGATCAACCATCCCATCCTCATCTCTCTATCCACAAGATCTCCCTACACGTTCGACTAAACACTAATCACTTACACAATAACAACACACTGACTCCTAATGCGTGCGGAAGAGATAGATTCGAGGTTATCTGTGTGAATACCCAGCTCTTTACCCGGACCCCCAAGAGGCTATTTTTAAACGTGTTTGAAGTCATTAGACCACGGAGAGTATTCGAATAACACACAACAATGGCGCCCAAGCGAGCAACTGAATTGCTGATTCAGCGAATATAGCAAAGCGTAGTGTGTTCGTGGTCTGATACATTTAACATATGGTGTGTAAAACACGTCTAGAGCGTGTTGTTTTTATTAAAAGAGGGTGTCGTGTTATGGGATTATGACCTGCTATTTAAAAAGTTGGGAGTAGGGTTATGGGTTCAATGGTGTGTTGTTCTAAAAATATGCTGTGTTGATATACAAGTAAATATAAATATAATAGTGTATATGAACAAGACAATAGTAGGTCGGTAAATAAAACTAATACATTAGTTGATACATATAGTGGATAACGACACGAATATAATGAGTGGTTTTGGGAAAATGGTGTTGAATGTAAAATTGGGTGCTCTGGTACAAAAAAGGATGTTATAGAAATGGGGTGTGGTTTTAGAAGAGTTTGTTGGTCTAGTACATTGTTTAGACTCAAAGACTACAAGTCCATCTCGTTGATTCAGTATATCAGTGGTCCAATCTGCAATGGGTCCAGTCTAGGAATTGTCCTGTGCACCATTAGTCTTGTCTAGCATTGGTCTGGTTTATTCAATCATAGGTCTAATCTACTAACGGTCTAGTATATCGTTGGTCCAGTATAATATTTGTCCAGCCTACAATTGGTCTAGTCTACCATTGGTCAAGTCTATAGTAGGTCCAGTTTACAATTTGTCCAGAGCCGCAATAGTCAACACTGTCTAGACAACTCAGCTGAAATAAAAAAAAAAGCCAAAAACAAAAAAATTCCTACCGTGTACGACCGCATCCACATAATCCAAAAAGTTCAAAGTCAGCGGGATTATCGAGGAATTCAACTTCAGCTGACCGTCGTCGCTCAGGTTCAGCATGAAGATCTTCGTCTCCCTCTCCTTGACCAGATTCTGGCAGATCTTCGGGTCCCCAAACCCCTCCACCACCACATTCTTGTACACCCGGAACGTCCCCCGAACGTCCTTCGCTACCCTGTCCACCTCATCCTCCCCTTTGAAGACTCGCTTAATCTCGATCTGTCCGGCGAACATCCGGGTCTCGTTGAGTGAGTTATCGTGGTCATACATGACTTTTTTCACCGTGCCGGATACGACGACGGACGCCATAGCCGTGGCTTGCTCCAGGTTCAAATCTTTGCACATTTTCCCGACGTTGCCGAGAGCGAGGTGAAAGCAGAGAAGGAATGCTAAAGCTAGAACCGCACCGCGTTTCGGCGCGCAAGGAAGTGCTATCGTGAAAGCTGAACGGGAAGATCCGAAACTGCGTTGGGTCATTGTTGATGGGGTGTGCGAAAAATATGAGTTGGTGAGGGGTGGGTTGGGTTCGTCTGCTTGAAGATACTCCGATGAAGTTGGTTCAGGATACAATGTCGCCATTGCAGCGACCTTCACCTTTTCTTAAAGCTCGATGTTTATTTTCTTTTTTTCTTGAATGGGTGTATCCAAAAGCGTTAACACATTCACAAATTGTATACAACTATTTAAACTGGATTACGCCTAGTGTATAATGAGTTAATTAACAGCTGATTACATTAATCAATTAAAACAACGAGATTCTTACGGCGATGAACGATACGGTTGTATGTACTAGTGTATATCTCAATCCTCGTCGCTTCTTACCTGAACTAACGAACTAATCTATACTAATACTAATGAAGGAACATAGACTCAATTAAAATAAATTCCGTAGGTGATTAGGAATATTGAAAAATTATACAGTTTTTTAGAGAAACTTTAAAATGTTAATGACATACAGTTAATCCTTAGAAAATAGGGTAGTCAAAACAGAGTTTTCCTAGTAAAATTGATACTAATGTCCATTGAAACAGAAGGAACTGTTTTAATTTAATCTGTTAATAAGATGGACTAAAGATGGAGTACCGATAGACTGATAGACCAAGGACTACAAGTTAAAGCTTGAATAACCGACAGCCTAATAATAGACTGCAGACTATGGACTAAATGACAACTTACGATATAGAAATACTAACGAGGTCTAACACGTAACGATTTCAACTGACGAAAGTGATTTTTAATGATCATTTCACTAACCCTAACCCTTACCACTGACTCCTAGTACTAATCCCTAGCACAAACTTCTACCACTAACCCCTACCTCTAACCCTCACCACTATATCATACCACTATCCTTACCACTGACCTCTACCATTAACCCCTACCACTAGCCCATACCACTAACCCCTACCACTAACCTACTAACCCCTACCACTAACCCCTACCACTAACCCCTACCAATAACCCCTACCAATAACCCCTACCAATAACCCACTAATCCCTACCACTAACCCATACCACTAACCCATACCACTAAATCATACCACTAACCCCTACCACTATATCCTATAACTAACCACTACCACTAACCCCTACCACTAACCCCTATCACTACCCCTAAAATTAACTCCTAGCACTAGCTTCTTAGCACTAACCTCTCAGCACTAACCCCATAATACTAATCCTAGCACTAAATACACATCACACTTCAAACATCAACGACAACACCTGACCTTAACTTTAAAGCACTAACCCTAACCCTTACACCTGACCCTAACTTTACATCACTAACCCTAACCCCTTACACTTTCCCTTACCCGACATCCAATGTCTACTCCACTCTAACTGTAACTCACTCTAAGCCGTTAACCTTTACTCTAAACTCTAAACTAATCCGTGACGCAAACCTGTGTAATTTACCTGTAGTATCCACACGGTTACACGGTAATTACACGTATTACAGGTAAATAAAGTGTTAGGGTTTGGAATATAGATAGGGCTAGTAACACGACTAGAGCTATGTTTAGAGATAGCGTTAGAGGTTTAGGATTAACACATCGATACTCTAAACACTGAAAAGGTTAGTCATCAAGTATCAGATTGTCCGTACATTATAGCATACTCTTAACCTAACCTAGAGACTACCAGTTGTCATGAAAAATATTCTCTAACCCTTATTCTTACAACGTTTCGCAGTTTAAAAACTACAAGAAATAACAATAATATTATTAATTAATATTAACTTGATCTAGTGGGTTTCTATTCTATTAATTTATTTTAGACGTTTTTTAATTAAAGTTTGGGCCTAATAATTATATATTCTATTTTTCTTAAAAATATAATAGAACGACTACAGCTAAAAAGGGCCTTGAACTTTAAAGCCTAATCAATCATAAAAACTAGCAATTAAGCACATATTTTAATTAATTAATTAAATCAATAATCCGTTGTAATGTTCGAGTAATTAACGTACAAACTACTAAGTATGAATCCAGCAAGAAATGAACGTCCAAAGAATCCGAAATGAGTAAAACATATAATCCAGAAGAACAAGCGGAAACAGTGTAGTATAAAATATCCAGACGGTCTGACTTAGCTTCCACCGTGGGCCGACTTAGGGCCTACATGTAGAGCTTGAAACAATCCACGCTCGTAATGTAGTTAAAAAAAAATTTCAACAGACAGTACGGACAAATATAGCAGGAAAAAAAGGGGCCTTAAATCTTCGACACCGCGAACCAAGGGAGAGAAGCGGTGGAGCGGGGAGAAGGGGAGAGAAAAAATTTCTGTCCCGAATAATCCGCGAGTGTGTGAATTTTTTTAATTTTTTTTTTAAACGATGAGAAGGGGAGAGCATTGGTGACGGGTAAATGACGTCGCAGGTATGCGACGGGGAATAACCGATGGTGGGTCTTTCGTTCATTGAGACGCGGCTAGGCGAAACTATAAGGGGAGTGAACCTAGTAGGTTGAGAGGTGGCGATTTTTTTTTCTCTTATCGGGAGAGTTTATAAATGCGCGCCGTGTTAATCGCCCCGTATAATGTCAATAAGCGAATACAGGTTGGTGATATGGAGGTGTACTTGTAGTGTGTACCGGTTTAAAAAAAAGTGATCTTTAATCTGTATTAATAAAAAAGGGATCTTTGCTGATTTTTATTTTAATTAAACGCTGTGGAACTTTATATTTAGATTGAAATTTTCGGGTGGGGAGGGGGTGGGGAAGGGGGGTGGGCGGACTAAATTTTTCGGGGAGGGGGGGGGGGGGCGGACACTGGTAAAAGCATATATTGTCAATATAAATTCTATTTCGTTAGGGGGAAGCGGTAGACGTTCTTTTCGCCCCTCCACGAAAAGGTACATGAAAGAAACTCTGGTAACAACCATAAATGAACACACAAAAAACCCAGACAAAATGAGTTTTTACAATTTTTCGGCTTTTTTTAAATCGTGACTTAGATTATCTCCCTTGTCAACTTTTTTTTTTCTCCTGTTTTTTTTTTTCAAGTTGAGTTTTTCTGATCGTGTTTACAGAGCAGTCGATCTAAAAAAAAGAGTTTGAATAATTTCACACCACTTGAATAGCATTAGCAGCAATACCCCAGTGAAATAGACGACATAGCCCAACCTAGCCTGAACCCTACACATTGCTCTGACCCCCACGATAAAGCATGTACGTCCAAACTTGACATAATGATACGACATACCTCAATGTTTTCTTTAACTTTCAGCTGCGCGGTCCAGCGGCCACGCAGGGGCTGTAAACTTTACACGCAGTCATTTTGAAACAAATAAACCTGAATTTTTTTTTTTAAATTATGTGTTTTTAGATTTTCACATTTCCCTACTGTGTGATTAAAAGCCTGTACCACCCCCCCCCCCCCACACACACTTTTTTTTTCTTATAACAATGTCACAATTTATCAATTAAATTAAAACCAATAATTGAGACTAACGCTAGCCCTAACTCTACACTGAACCAACCATGTATGTCTACACTCGCTACACACAAGTAAAGTATTTTAATTCCGAACTAGACGTCGTTAAAAACTAATGAGCTGGGTTAAAAAGCAATGGAGGGGGGGGGGGGGGGGAATTAGAATGACATGCATGCAAGGTTGACAACTCTGTCGGTTGAGTGGTGACTGAGACATTCATTGCATAGTGCTCTCCCATGTCAATAACCCAATACATTTTAATGGTGAGAGGGAAAGGGTGGGGGGTGGGGTTGTCATATGTATGTGTGGAGGAGGTTGTCATGTGGGTTGTGGAGTTGTCACAAGGTTACTCGGAGGAGGTTGTCATGTGGGGGAAGATGGGGTTGTCATATGGGTGTGTGGAGGAGGTTGTCTTGTGGGGGAAGATGGGGTTGTCATATGGGTGTTCGGAGGAGGTTGTCATGTGGGTTGTGGCGTTGTCATATGGGTGTTCGGAGGAGGTTGTCATGTGGGGGAAGATGGGGTTGTCATATGGGTGTGTGGAGGAGGTTGTCTTGTGAGTGGGAGGTGGGTTGTCATTATAAAACATGGTTAATCACGCTAGATGCCCCCTCTAACCTATTTGTCTCCTTCCAAAAAAACCTCCCCCCCCCCCAAAGGGGAGTTTCTTCCAGGCATCTCTTCGGGGTGAGGGAGGGGGGCGAAAAAATTCTACCGGCCCCTCCCCTTCTGTCGAACAAAATAGAATTTATATAGAAAATATATACTTTGCCAGTATCCACCCCCACCCCCCGAAAATGTCATGTGTACCCCCTCCACGAAGAAAAATGTCAGAAAGAAACACTGCTCATAACAAGAGCTCAGCAGACATGATCAAACCCTTAACCACATAGTAGAGTAACATTTGTGTACTTGTTACTGTTACTGTTACTGTTACTGTTACTGTTACTGTTACTGTTACTGTTGCTGTTGCTGTTGCTGTTGCTGTTGCTGTTGCTGTTGCTGTTGCTGTTGCTGTTGCTGTTGCTGTTGCTGTTGCTGTTGCCGTTGCCGTTGCCGTTGCCGTTGCCGTTGCCGTTGCCGTTGCCGTTACCGTTACCGTTACCGTTACCGTTACCGTTACCGTTACCGTTACTGTCAACTTGACCGTTTGCATGTAAGTTGTCCTGTACAGTAGGTAACGTCTACGATATTGTTTATAAATAACAAGATAACAAAACAGCGTCAATATCGTGCCAATTATCTGCTCGTCATGAAAACATTTTTCCATTAGGGTGTTGTATGATGTACACTGTGTTATGAACAAAAGGCCAAATTCAAAAGGCCAAAAGCCAAACTGCTGAATAACCATAAGACCGAAAAAACATGTCATAAAATTGCAAAGTATGGGTTGCTAGCTTATGGCATAGCCAATTCTAGGTCAACGAGGTCAGAGAACTATCATATAACGTAATAATATTTAAAATAGGTTAGTGTTAAATTAAAGCTCATGTTTATATATATCATTATAATTATTATTTTTGTTATGTAGCAGTTATAATTTTTTCCCCCACGGTAATAAAATGTTCTATTTTTTTACAAGCTTTTATTTAACTCACTTCCTCTGTCGTCAGTCTGTCTGTCTAGATCGAAATGGCCGAGCGAAATAGCAGGCACTTCTAAATGACAGATACGGTTCGTAATTGGTACGTGGGTCAAGACATTAAGAGAATGCATCGTGACATTAAATTTGACTTAATTTGTCGCCTGATTAATTTTTTATGAATTAATTAAAATTTTGACCAAATTATTAAATCTCCTTTTCAGAACTTGAACGCACCATCTCCATCGTATGTTCTTGCTGCGACAAAGCATGACACAGCATCATAGCTAAAAGAATAGCCTGTTCGGATACGGACGCTCGTGTTTTTATAGCTACTGTTTATTGTAAACATTACATAACTGATTATTACTATGGGGGATCACGTGTTAAATTTACCTAATGGAAGGTGAACTTTGTATGTAATTAGAATCCGGGTCGTACGATATATTAATCATAAAGATGAGCCTGCTTGGTTTTAATGATTTATCAGTTAACTAATTCACTGGTTTGGGATAAACAGAGTAGCCTCACCTACATTATAACATACATGGATTCTCTGCTCCTAGATCACCCCCCCCCCACCCCCACCCCCCACCCCAACTTCACACAAATCCCATCTACACACACATACACAGACACAAACAAACACACTCAAACTCACGCACTTTACCCACTCTTTACGGGTTCTGAAGTTATGGCGTAAGGAAGGTTAAAAAAAAAATTAAGAAAGATAATCGATATTTTGAAAGTCAAAAATTTACTGTCAAATTAATGCCCTTGGTCGTTAACTAAGATAAAGTCCTGCTGCGCGGGGATAGAGAAGCAAAGATGTGAGTGTGTGTGTGTGTGTGTGTTTGCGTATGTTTGTATAAGGGTGTTTCTAAGTATATAAATGTTTATCGGAGTAAATGTATGTGTGTATGTTTAAGTGCATGCATTTTCACTGAAAACTTAGGTAAATTTTTATTTTTTATATAAGATCTTAATTTTAAAAAATGGGTTGACTTTACAATAAGTTGATTTAAGTTTATTTCTTTCTTTCAGTGAGTTTAGAAAATAGCCGGAAAAACCATTTACACGACTAACATAAGTAGATCAGATCCATCTAGATTACCTATTGATCTATTGAATGCGGGTCAAGAAAGTAAAGTACTCTTTCGAAAATAACGGTCTATAGGAAGGGAAGTGGAGAGGTCATCATTTTCAGTGACTTTGGTGGCGTAAGGATATTGTGATTAGTGCGTGGCCCAGCCGCCTTTACCTTCCCTAACGTGAGTCAGGTACTCATCATAGCTTGGTGAACTCAGCGCTCTATATATACACGAATATGGGATTCGAACTCGAGCCTTTCGGGTTAGCATACGTATGCTCTGCTACCTGACCACGCCTTCCTATCTAAGAAGTTGTAACCGGAATTATTTTATTGGACCATAGATCTGGAGTTCCACAGTAGCAGATAAATAGACAATGCTAGTAAATTTCTGACACAAGGATCTGAGGATTTCTTCAAATCCGCTGGTCAAACGCCATCATGATCAAACTATGGCATCGATTCTGTTTAAAACGACTTCCTGCATAGAACATTGGATGTTGAAACCACTATTGTAAGACAGACAATCTCTTGGAATCCCCAGTAATCGCCAGGTAAAAAGAAGGAAGTCAGAGTTAGAAAAACTTGATGAAGTTACTCGAAGTTGGCAAGATGGGTTATCACAGTTGAAAAAAAACAAGCCTATATACGAGATGCTGGAAGGCCTTTGTCGTAGGCAAATGTCCTTGTGGGACCCTAGGCTAAATACTCAGCACACGAACATACCGAAGTTTGAACCGTTATCTACAGCCATCAATAGTTCTAAGAACGGTTTCTTAATTTTGGAGTTTTTTGTTTTAAACTTAGAAAATGTACAATAGCCAGAGGTTAGGCAGACGAGTTAGGTAGATTATGTAGGAACCAATGAGATGCGAGATGATGACCGGCCACGTAAGACGGTCAGTTGGTCACTAAAACATGTCAGGCTCATAAGAGGGGTCGGTCAATCCGACAACATTATGAAAGACTAATTTACGTCAGAGGTTAAAAAAAAAACAAAAAAAAACAGTCGATGTTTCACAAACGGCTTTAATTTTTACAAATGTAACTATAATTTTATCGCTT